CCCAGCCAGCCAGGCTGGCTGGGGAATTCTGGGAGTTGAAGTCCACCCATCTTAAAGTTGCTAAGCTTGAGAAACATTGCTGTAGAGCCTTAAGGAAGTTTGCTACTCTGTTCTTTTTGCTTTCTTCTCTCGGTTAAGCTGTTTTGGAAGCGTTCCACAAACTTGGAAAATTGGGTTAACGTCATGCAACAACAGTGAATGGATTATGCTGTGTGAATCAAGCATCTCCCAAGTGACTTCTAACTCTCTTTAAAAAGTAAAGATGCCCTTGATTACAGGGATACAACCATTGGCAACAATGTAGGAGTTTGTAGAAAGAGGTAACAATCTGAAAGGGGCCACCATCTTGACTTTCCTGACCCTACGTGGATGTCCCGGCCAATAGGCTCAGCGCTGAAATGAAGATCTAGGCACAATCAGCTTTGTGCGCAGGGCATCCAACTGTTTCTTTCCTTAAGTTAAAAGCAAGCAAGCAAGCAAGAAAAAAACATTTTGAGGGACGTTTGGTTGACCTTCCCGTCTACTCCACAGCCCTGGGATCCCCTGGTGGTCTCCCATCCAAATGCTAACCAGACCTGCTTAGCTTTTGAGCCCAAGCAAGATGCGACAGGGGCTGCCCCCTGCTGAGATTAAACAGCCATCACACCCTTGAAAACAACTTGTGGTTCAGCAGTGAGATGTCCCATTGAGCAGGAACCCTCCACTCCTCTCAATGTAAGTTCTCCCTCTTTCACACTCTGCCCCTCACCTTCATATCGGTACCCCCATGTGGCCGCTGGTACAGAGCCCCAAAGGGGTATGTGCCATTCGCAGGATTGAGATCGGAGCGGGCAGATATAGCGTTTTCCCCATTCTGTGGTGGGTTGCAGCCTTGGCAGCAAGACAGAGGATCTTGGGGGAAGTTGTTGAACCTGTGCAGGAAATGAAGAACATAACATGTGTAACCCAGGCTTTAATTTACCTATCATCCATCCATCCATCCATCCATCCATCCATCCATCCATCCATCATCTATCATCTATCATCTATCATCTATCATCTATCTATCTATCTATCTATCTATCTATCTATCTATCTCCATCCATCCATCCATCCATCCATCCATCCATCCATTGTTGTGCCTTCAAATCAGTCTTGATTCCTGGAGACTATCCAGACAAGTCCCTGCAATTTTCTTGGCCACATTTTCAGAAGTGGTTTGTCCTTGCCTTCTTCCTTCTAGACTGAGAGAGACGGACTGGCCCATGGGTTTTATGCCTCAAGCAGAACTAGAATTCAGAGTCTCCTGGTTTCTAGCCTGATAACGAGAAGATATGTAGATTTAATATCCTGTCTGTCTGCCTGCCTGCCTGCCTATATCTATCAATCTATCAATCTATCAATCTATCAATCTATCAATCTATCAATCTATCAATCTATCAATCTATCAATCTATC